AAGGCCTTTATTACGAAGATTAAGGAACAGAGTGAAAAGATGGGACTTACTTTACCTCTGATGGAGAAGATATGGAGATGACTGACAGCTTGGATCAGTTATCAACAACAGAGGATTCAGAAATCGGCACATATCGGCAACTCAGCAAAACAAGGATGAAGGAACATGGAAAGATCTTCAAACGCAAACAATTTGTCTGTAAAAAGATCAGAACTGTCCAGGCTGTGGTTCTTCTCTGTGGTTCTTTTTGGATGTGAAAGCTGGACAATAAACAAGTAAGACTTCTGAGAGAACCTCAGACGGCAAAGAAAAGAAATAAATGGATCTTCAATCAAATGAAGCATCACCTCTCACTGGAAGCCCAGAGAACCAAACTGAAGCTCTTATTTCGGACACATTCTGAGAAAAAACAGCTCATTGAAAAAGATCATTATGCTTGAAAGAGCTGAAGGTAGAAGACGACGAGGATGACCAGCCACAAGATGGATTGAGACAATGAGAGGAATTAATAACCAGCTGTTTGGAAGCCTGAAGACCCAAACAGAAGACAGGATATTCTGGAGAAACACCATCCACTGCCAGGAGTCATGAGTCGCCGTGGCCACTCCTAATTTTTCCCCACAAGATCCGCTGGCTGAGGGATTGGAGTGGACAGAGTAAGTTCTTAATATCCGTCTACCCCTGCTTAAAGGAAATTAAGAAAAGTGTCCACTTCCTTTGGGCTAGCCACACTAAGTTCTCTCACTCATGTAGTTTAAACTAAAAGATCTCCAGGCTGGATGCAGCAGGAATAATGTTAGCTCAATTCAATTCAAGCTGAGAAAGTGTTGTTTCTTCACAATATGAGATGCATTAACCTTCAACAATTACTCCTTACACAAGTCAACAAAGACGTCCACATGTCCGAGCGTTCACTATTTCACTGTGGAACAGGAAAACCTGTAATCTGCAGTGCCGAAGGAGGTTTGGGTGACTGGATCCCAACGTCTCTCACTGTAACCCAATGACACACATTGTACCCCTTTTGTACTTAATGCTGTCTACTTATGATCAGATCATCTGGGACACATGTTAATACCAGGTGAAAATGGTGCCATAGTTACGTCTTTGTAATTGGATTTAGTGCAGTCTGTGAATAAAAATACAGAGTAAAACTGGCCAGAGTAAAATAAAATAAACAAAAATGTGCTAAATAAAAAACTTGGTATTCCTAGTTTTTTTTACAGAATTTTTAGTAAGTAAGTAAGTAAATTTATTTATATAGCGCTTTTTACAACAAGTGTTGTCACAAAGCAGCTTTACAAGGAAATCAGCATTACAGAAAGAAATCCGGGTCCAAGCCCCCATGAGCGTCGCCAGTGGCGACAGTGGCAAGGTAAAACTCTCTAAGAGAAACAGGAAGAAACACTGAGAGGAACCAAGACTCAGAAGGGGAACCCATCCTCCTCTGGTCCACACTGGATAGTAAACATTGCTAGTATAAAAAAAAGTTGCACTGCTAGTCTGTTCTGACTTCAGAAAAACAAAATATTGTGAAGCATATAGTGCATCGCCAAAATGTCATCCAAGCATCTTATGTTTTTGAATAATCGCTCACCACTAGTGGAAATATTTTGCTTTAGCAGCACAGCACTTCTGGTTCTAGACACAAACAGTGTTAGGAGTAGGTGTATTCACACACTGTATGATTTGAAAAAAGCAGTCCAGGGGACAAAAGCTCTAAGTGTAGTACACACATATCAAAACATGGGTGGGAAAAAAATAAGTGATAAAAAATCACTTTTTGATGCAGAATATTATAGTAACTGGTGGTCAAATCATTAGAGGTGGGTAAATCAGCTTAGACCTGAATCAACACTAAACACACTATAAAATAATACTTCTATAATTTAAGGAAGAAAGAGGGCAAAAACAATACATCAGCCCAGATTCTCACAATACACAGGCGCTGGGGGAATATGGCAAAAAAATATTACACGACGATATTTCAAGATATTTTCACAATACAAGATACACATCGTAAGAATTAGTTTTTATCTAACAAAAGCTATGCTCACATTACAAGCCTCGTTGCTCAAATCCGATTTTTTGCTCAAATCCGATCTCTCTGACACGATGGTTCACACTCATTTAGGTAGGTGACTCAAATCTGTCATTAATGTGACGAACCGGCGTCCTGAAATGACCCTCATGAGCTCATCCTACTCAGTAACATCACGTGAATGAATCACGATCATCATCAGCACAAACTAACGAGCAGAACGAGCTTCACTGAGAAGATCATTAAATCTGATCAGCTCTCAGCTTCATTATTAGAGCGAGACGAAGGTGAAAAAGGTGAGATGAGCTGCTTTTCCACCGTTTACAGGCTTTAACTTCTGTTCGGCGCTGTTGCCATGGTAACGCTGAATGATGGCGCAGCGCAGTGGTAAAAAAAAGTATATGAATTCCGATCTGAGCGTCACATTAAGGTCACATGGCCACGAATCGGATACATATTCGATCTAGGACCATACATGAAAGTGGCTCAGGTCGGATTTGAAGATCAGATTTTTGTGTCCACACAGCCCTGAAAACATGAGATCTGAGTCACATTAGGGCAAAAAATCTGATTTGTGCCACTTCAGCCTGGAAATGTGAACATAGGCAAAATAGAACCTGTGGTGCCACACTTAAAAAAAAATACTTTAAAAACCTACAACTATAAAGATTTTTGTCCCATGTTATACTGCGAAGAGACGATATCTACGATATTCTCTGAAAAGCATATTGTGACATAATTTATAACAATTAAATATCATCATATTGCCCAGCCCTACATTAAGCCCTAAAAATGAAGTTATTTTACTGTAGTATTATTTGGCAGCCTAGCACACTCAGCCCAGCTTAGCTAAACTGCACAGCTACACGGATGAAAACACAAAGATCAGGTATCGGGCGATACTCAGTATTAAAGTACTCTAATCGGATTGGTGGGCGATTCCGAGACATTACTGTTTAGAAGGCTTAGTCTCTGTATACGGGCTGTATGGACTGGAGAGTGAATAATACGCTTTGAAACTTTTAACACTGCATCAAACTCCTTTTACTAAAAACAAGGAAAATTAAGTTTTCCACGAAGTTAATTTACGCTCTAACACAACACTGCCTTGTTTGAGTCATTAGAACCGCTGGCTGGATGGGAACGTCTGTCCAGCGCAAGATATTTTCAGGTTCTTTTTAAATCTCACTTCCTTTGGAACGGCTGACGAGGCCGTAGCACGAGGGCGGATGCAGAATATATATATATCGTTAAAAAGAGCAGAGGATGGTTTCTTCAGGGGTGTCGACACTTTACAAGTGAACCTCAGACAGACCGCTAGCAGAGTCAGTGTGTGCGCGTGTGTGTGTGTGTGTGTGTGTGTGTGTGTGTGTGTGTGTGTGTGCGCGTGAGGATGAGAAAGATGCCATTAGAGCTCTGACTGCTACACGCATGTTTGAAGTGGTTTATCTCGGCCGTAATGACAGAGTGTATCCATAAACACACATCTCTCTCTCTCCCTCCCACTCAGTCTCTCCCTCTCTCTCCTCTCTCTCTCTCTCTGTGTGTCACTGTATCCTAGACTGACCTCCATTAAACTTCTTTCTACTCGGCTGTGTTTCCAAGAGGTTTAACTACAGAATCACCTTCAACATCTACAATGCAAACAACTGAACTCATTTTGAAGCTCCAGTCTCTTTAAGACAAGATACTTAAGAAAAACAAGTCCTTGTAAACTTTAACTGGAAAATAAAATAAACACTATACTTCAACTTTTACTAGAGCACACTTAGTAAAGACAACAGTTCAATATAGAATCATAAACACTCAAAGAAGCAGTTACTGACATAATCTGATTTTCTGTAGTTATCAGATTATTAAGTGTAAACACGCTGAATCGGTTACTGACATAATCTGATTTTCTGTAGTTATCAGATTATTAAGTGTAAACACGCTGAATCGGTTACTGACACAATCAGATTTTCTGTAGTTATCAGATTATTAAGTGTAAACACGCTGAATTGGTTACTGACACAATCTGATTTTCTGTAGTTATCAGATTATTAAGTGTAAACACGCGGAACCGGTTACTGACACAATCTGATTTTCTGTAGTTATCAGATTATTAAGTGTAAACACGCTGAACCGGTTACTGACACAATCTGATTTTCTACAGTTATCAGATTATTAAGTGTAAACACACTGAACCGGTTACTGACACAATCTGATTTTCTGTAGTTATCAGATTATTAAGTGTAAATGAAGAAAAGGTGAGCTCAACCTTATATTCACAGTTTCAACGCCCTAAAATGCAAAAGGGAACTACTTTTTGGACAGAAGGTTTTGCCGATATTAAAGCACATCTGACACAACGTTCAGGGCTGCTTTACTTCTTTTTAACTCTGCAGAACTGTTGTATAGAAGTAAAAGAACACTAGAGATTGTGTGCTATTATGAATAATGATGATCTACCATATTTGCCTCTGGCCTGTGTCTAAATCATGGCTGTGATGATACCTGCAATAACGCACCCCCTCTTATGTTCCACTGCTCAGATATAGAGTAACCAAACTGAAAAGGGGCCTTGGCCTGGCTTGTCTGGCCATTTCTTCCCAGGATCAGACTATAGCCTGCATACATGCTGACCTCAGCTTTTACGGTTCCACAGGTGAGCTGAATCAGATCTCTCTGGCTACCTTATATGGCAGCATGACTAGGAAACAGACTGGCCAAGGGCGTGGCACCATGACAACAAAGGGTGGGGTGTCATCACAGCTGTGCTATTGTGTTCTCAGCGTGGGGGGGGGCAGTGTGTCAGCATGTGTGCGGCCATGTATCTACACGCACCTCATTACCTCAGCCTTATATTTGGTCACAGTCTGCTCTCTCTTTTTCAGTCTGTCTTTCCTGTAATCTTACCCTCCAGGCGCTTACTCATATTTCCTCTCTTACTTCATATATCGCTCTTACTTCTCCTTACCTTTTTTCACCTTCTTCTGCAGCTTGATTGTGTCTGAGGATTTCTTCTTGATGTCTGCTCGCGCTTTCTTGTACTCTAAAAATAAAACAAAGTAAGTCATACTGTGAGACAGTAGCTGAAACCTTGATGAATACAGTGGGAGCCTGCATGGTTAAAAAAAATAATAAATTATTCATGCAGAGATAATAATACCCCTGGATGTACATTATAACGGCTCATTCATATAAATAAATAACCCATTATGCATCTGAACGCTGATTGATAGACTGGGTGCAGAGTTAAGTGCCAATCAATAATTCATGCCGGTCTCCCAGAGCTGCAACATAAGTTTTGGATTGTGAGATTTTCTCAAAGATTCTGACCGTAAACCTTATAAATGGGTCATTCTACAGAAATGTACACTTTTCTGTCTCTCCATGGGGGTCACTGGTGTCACTGATCCTCATTGGTGTTACACATAATAAAGGAAACACCAAAGACAATTAATGAAAAATGCATTTTACAAAATAACTGCTACAGAGCATCAAACCACATGTCAATCATGGAATATCCACTAAAATACGGAATTTAATCCATTTGTATTCTATTTTTTCACAGTTACCTCAGAATAAAGTCGGTCACACCAGTGACTTCAGCTAAAAGCTTCATATGAAATCATGAGCTGAATGAGAAAATCTCTGATAACTGAAAGACACAGTGGACTCACCACGTGCTTTTCTTCATAGATCCTCAGAAAACAGGTAAAAGGAAGTCGAGTGATGTCATCAGTGTGACTTTTATTTCAAAATAAGAGATTTTCTGTTATGCAGTAACACCAGTGACACGACTCCTGGGGACAATAACTTTCATTATATATTTTATGTTATTTATTTGGCATTTGTTTTCTTTATGTCATTTAAATCATATATTCCATAGTCATGTATAGATTATTGTAGTTGAAATTGCAGAAAAACCTGTTTTTTTCTTCAAAACATGGCCTCAGCCTTCACACACGACTGTGGGGACGAGCTCTTCTGTGGTGCTTGGAATTCTATATAATTGATTTAAAAACCTATATTGCTAAATTGAGGGTCAAGAAGGTGTAATTGTTAAAATAACATTGTTTTATTTTAAAATAGTAATAAATTGTAACCCTAACGTGTTTTTCAAGTGTAATGTATCTGTAAATGCTAGGGACCCAAAAATGGACGTTTCTGTAGAGTGACCCAAATACAGCACTCATTTCTTACCTACAGCTGCAAAAAAAAGGGTATTAGGCAGGGACGCGCCGATCCTGATATCTGATATTTTTCACGTGCCGATGACGACACGTTTACAGAGACTGGGACTTAATTTCTACTACCTGTATTAGTATTACAGAGAAATATCATGTATTTCTGTTGTGTTACAAAAGCAGTAAAATGAATAAAATGCAGATATTTTAGTGCCGTAACCCAGCGTCACCTAAACACTCTGCTTTTCAGGTGTCTAATAAACACACCACATATCAGTCTGAAATATCAGACAAAAGTAAACATCCGTCCAATTCCGCTTCGCTTTTAAGCAAATATCTGCTGACTACCATCGTGAGTCCGGTAACACTTCACATCCGTAATACAAACCAGAGCACCCAATCAGCTTTAAGGTCAAAACCGAAAAGCAGAAATACACAGAAATCTGCTAGGAAACAAAAGAAATTTTGTAAGACTAGAGAAGCACCAACACCACAGTTTTACTGATACTGACACCTGATATCCTGATACCAGTACTAACACTATCTGACCTAACTGACCTATAAGTACTGATATTTAAACAATTGCATTTTTATAATATTGTATTTTCCCAGATAGCGAGCGTATATCGGTCCATTAGCTTAATGAGGTCGGCACCCCACTGACTGGTTGCCACTGCTGGTCCACCCTCAGACCACCCAGATTACTGTCCTGCAAACAAGCTCTAACTAGTTTTTTATCTTCTCAAACAGATTTAAATTTACAGAGACTTTTATTTTAGAAAAAAAAAACCAAATATTACAAACAACAGAGAAAAAAATAACAATTAGGCCTGATATAAATGATTTTACAGAAAATGCTGACACTGTACTAAATTAAAATTATTTACTAAACACATTTACAAAGTATAACTAAAGAAAGGAAGGAAGGAATAATCAGTAAACTAGACTGTAAATGGAAAAGGAGTGATAAGTGGAATTTTGTGTATGACTCTGCGTAACCACCGGTGGGCTGCCTGGAAAACGCTGAGCACATCGCCAGTGGACCGCCAGCTTTGCCATCAGTGGGCCGACAGTGGTCCACCATCCTCTTACTATCAGGGTTTGGTAAAATCTATGTTCTGTCTGACAAACAAAACACATTCAGCTTGACTAGATGGCGTTTACTTGTTGGATTATATATGTTTGACGCTTAAGAACCTATTTCTGTTTATTTACTATATGCATTTAGTATTTACTATTATTGCATTAGTAATAATAACCATGTTTAACAACTTAGGCAAATGTAAAATATCTTTATTGTGCAAAATAGTTAAGAACAGAGCTGAACAGTGTTCAGATGAACCTGTGGCGTGAACACATCAGCACACAGCAGCTTCTCTGGCTCAAAAGCGGAGCTGGATGTTGTTTCTCATCCAAATTTCTCGAGTCGTTTGTTCCATACGTGCATCTCGTTCACTCGCGCTGCATCTCTGAGTGTCAGACTCTGCTGGAGTTCAGTATATATCACCGTCATCATGCTATCAGTAGCAGCGACTTTCAGTGTTTTCCCAGCTTATAAAGTTTTAAAATCACATTACTCATCTATTTGACTGGAAAGAAGACAGTTACAGCTCTCATATGACCCCCACCTTTTGAACGTAGCTTATGAAATATTAAAGTTATGAAGTAAAGAATATGACCGGTGGTTCCACCAAGTTAAAGAGTCTAAGCCTGATTTGATCGTAGCCAACTGAATTTTAGGATCAGGCCGAATATCAGTGTAATTGGTCAGTTTGCTGTGCAGTGTGAGGGGAAGTGATACCCAATTAACCAGACAAACGAGCTCTGACTGAGCTCAGATTATCGGACGGATTTCTGTCATGCCAGAAATGATGGTTGCTTGTCTTGCAGTTTGAGCACACAAACACAATCACAACCAATTCCCCAACTGATGACGTCACAATCGCACTGCCACCATTTTGGTTGGCAACTTCAAGTTCATCCAGCAGAGCTGTAATAAGTATTTCAGTGAATTGACTTGATTTCATTTGATTTGTTGCTGTAGTTTAATGAATGAAAGCTGAAATCTAAACGGAGATTTTTCGCTAAGTAATAATCTTAGCATCCCAAACTGCACACTAGCCCGTTAAATAGTGTGTAAAAATAGTGCACATCCCATTAGAAGTGCACAAATTAGTACAGAATTTTGTGGTTTGGGACGCGGCGTTAGATCAGCCAGTGAGACGTGATCAACAGCTGCTCTGCTGTGCTGCTCGTTAGCTGCTCATTAAATTAATGTGTTCATTTAGGTAAACTGATGTATTTATTGAGGTAAATTAATACATTTATTAAGATAAATTAATACATGAGGCAGATTAATGCATTTATAGAGGTAAAGTATTACCTTTATAGAGGTGAATTAATGGGTTTATTGAGGTAAACTGATGTATTTGAGGTAAATTAATGTGTTTACTGAGTTAAATTAATGCATTTATTGAGGCAAACTGACGTATTTATTGAGGTAAAGCTGCTTCATTATCGCCAACTTTTGTTTAAGGTACCTAAGTGTCACTGCATCCCCATTTAAGGTGGAACAGAAAATTCAAATGAGAAGCTGGTGAATAAGAAACTTCAGCTTTATATCTGTGTAGGAGTTTATTATTTAAGAGCTTTGTCCGTTTTGGGATCCACTTTTATTAGTTTTTATAAAATATCTCACACTGGAATGTTCTGAACTCTGGAGATGTGCAGGCTAGACATTTGTAGTGTTTTCTGGAGACGCATCTAAAGCGTCTACATATCTGTTCATGTGTTTGTGGTCATCCTGGTCTTCTTAATTTGGTGTTTATCCACCTGCAGGGCTGTATCTGCAGTAATGGTGATGAGATGAGCTCGAACAGAGCACAGTCAGAGTTACAGCTCACCTACCAACACGGAGACGTGATCTTCTTAACGACGCAATCGAACACCATGAATACGAGTGAACAGACTAACAAAATAAGGACAAAAAAAGTGCACCAAACTGTGCCGGACTCCGGCCCTCAGCTCCCCAACCCTGAAGAGACATTAAAATAGTGTTTCAGCTCAGAGCCGATTTTCTGTTCCTTTTCAGAGCCTTGAGCTAATTTTCATACAAATGGAGTAAACAGTGAAGGTTTCCTTCATGTGGTGACTTAAAAGTCCTACTGGCAAGAATAAAGTCCACTAAGGTGATTACTGCACTACTGATCAATTACATAAAGAGCTGAACGCAGTAATGAGGTAAGTAAAGGGAGTCTGAATGTGGCACATTTAGCATCCAGTAAGCAGATTAAGGTGGCGCTGAGGTGGTACCTTTGGCGTGGTCCTTATCCAGCTGACTGGCCACTTTCTTCCACTCTTCTATCTTCAGCTCCAGAGGACTGATCAGGTTATCCATGAGGGCCCTACAAAACAAAGATCAATTAAACTGATGAAACTGGGAGGAAAGAAAGATATAAAGAGGACGACACACAAGACGCTCATCACCACCCAAAAACAAGACAACGGAATAAAGCTTAAAACTGTGTTTGGCTGCAGTTCTCAGATCACACTGAAAGGGAGCAGAGTGAAAGTGATGAAAGTTAAAAGACTCTTACGTGGTGAAGAGTTTGAGTTTGTTCTCGATGCTCCTGTGCCTCATACACATTCTGGTCAGCGCTGATCCGATCTCCTTCGTCGCCCCTGACAACACAGAGCAATACAAAGACAAAACAGCCATTAGCTTCACCTTAATTACACAAATCCTCCATTTTCAGCTTAAAGTGAGTCAGAGAAAAACCCTGTAATACACACATACAGGCCTGACAGCGAGTCACTCTGTGAGTCAAAGCTCTGTATCAGGGAGGGTCTCTGATCTAGCCTAGTGTTTTCTCTCTATGATAGGTGTGGGGAGGTGGAACAGTGGTTCTGTATAGAACCATGAACACTCAAAACCATTTGTATGCTTAAATGGTTCTCTGTATGGTGAAATGGTTCTTCAGCTTGATGGAGAATGTCAGGATTATGATTATAGTTATAATTTTTCTTTATTTGAATCTGAAATTTAATTTGAACAAAATATTGCGAGAATATTGAGTTGCGAATCCAGAATCATGAATCGTATCGTGTTGCCTAACAAAAAAAAAAAACATACACCTGAGTATCAATTTAAAATCTGGTACGAACGAGAAAATTGCTGCTCTGCAGCTCAAGCCTACTTGAAAAAGGCACTTAAAGCATTTCAGGCTTGGTTCTATTTTTTTTACATAATGGTAAAAGAGAAGGACTCATTTTCACAGTACAAATCCATTACAAGCACATGTGCCCACCTGCAGGCTCGTATACACAAATACCACCCGGAGAAGCGGCGCCTGCAGCTGCCTCCAAAACACAGTTCACTTCTTATAAATACAGAAAAAATATGTTAGTTTAATGCTAAATGAAGATCACACTGGAAAAATCTTTCTTTAAAAGTTTAACTTGAAGAGAAGAGCAATGATGTGTGTTTTTCAGATACACATTCTCCAACTACCGTTTGTAACACCACACAAAGACTGTACACTTCCAAAGCAGAAACTGTGCCAGTACAGCTGCTGCAGGTTCTTACTAACACAGTCTTTACTCATTCTTGCAGACATCTAGTTCACATTATTATATGTATTAAGAAACAAAATATGTTTGCTATTTTTATTAGGAAACATAGAGTCAGCGCCAGCTAAAGCGGGTCAATGATTTACTACAAAACTGTCATAATACTGAAATTTTAGCTGGCGACTGTCACATAAAGCACAAACCTAACGTTGCCAAATTATCTGATTAGCCATCTTGCTTCCGGACTGTTAACTCAAATGTATGTGAAAATAGCTGCATAAGAAATCTTATTCTGCAAGCATACGTGCTAAAAACATTATAATTAGCTACACTGCTAACAAATAAAAAAGCATGCAAAAAATCCTAAAAAACGTAGCATGTTTAGACAGACAAGCTCTTGCCTGGTTTAGATCCTTATTGACAGAACGTTGCCAATCTGTCAGCGTAACTGAGAAGTTTTCCAGTCACTGAGCGCACTGTGGTGTGCCACAGGGCCATGTTTTAGGGTCATTAGTGTTCTCCGTTTATTTACAGCCCTAAGCAGTAAACACAATTTTGCCTTTCACTTTTATGCTGATACTCAATATATGTGTCTCAGCTCAGCCAGATTCAACACAGTTACACATGATTATGTTTTTTTAAGACTTAAAAGCCTGGATGATTAAAAACGTTCATCTGCTAAAAGTCTAAAACCCCAAGTCTGCCTGAAATAAAGTTGCAGATTTTGTCCTTGACCTACAGTTAACCCTCATTTTCTTGATTTTTGCATTTATTCTTAAATGCGCCTTAAAGGCCAGTTACATACAACATGATACCCACCAGTATCATATCAAAATGTTAAGAACAATCTCAGCTCTCTACAATCAGGGCCTTCTGAAACTACGTAAAGAGATAATTCGGCCCAAAAGCTAAAAAAAATTTAAGTCTGGTTTTAGAAATTCCTAATCTCTCTTGTGAAAGAAAACAGCTTTCCTTTTCGCACGATTTGTTTTGGTGCTTGAAATGGGTTCACCAAAGTCTTAGCTTCACAAAAGTAGTGGAATTTATAAATAACAGATAAATGTTATCTTCATCACTACTTTCCAAAACCGCTGCAGCAGCTTCAGCAGCTGTAAACTCTCTGCACGCCGTTTCACACGAGTCTTTAATGTGGACTGAATGAAGAATGAAGGGTTTCTGGTGTGACGGTCAGTCCTTACTGATTTCCTGAGCATCCATCGGTCAGTTTCACACAGAATGTAGACGGACACACCAATCCACCAGTTCCACATGGTGAGAGGCAGATGACGTGTATCTCAGCCCCTCTTCATAGGCTCATAACTCCGGATGTGAGTCTCGTATGATCTCGTGATAAGATGGAATGGAAAGGGCGACTCTACAGATTCAGGAAGTGTTTGAACTGGATTTCTGAGCTGGATCATCACAAAGATATTAATAGAAACATCTAAATTGACGTGCTGGTGCGTTCGTCGGCCCATTAGGTTAAAGACTTTTGCATGACTCCCAATGCTAGTTTAAGTCTCTTATCAGTAATCTCTCTAAAACTACAGTTCATACCTTTACACCTTCTAGATTAGACTACTATAATGTTACTGACTCGTGGCACTGCCGTCTCTCTGAATATTGGGAATGCAGGCACGGCAGATGCTTTTAAATACAGATTAACATATATATTTAGGCTAGCATAAGCACAGCTCTCCTTTCTCTCTCACTGATTACAACTGTTCTGTTATTTCATTTAGACTACAATGTTATATTTTCCAGTATTTTACTCATCTTTTTGTGTAAACAACAATGAAATGAGCAATATAAACAAATATATTTCATTATGCACTCTATTTATTCCCAGTTGTGTATACTGGTGTGCTTTTTTTGTACAAACCTTTCTGTGACACTATATGACCATATTAGCCCAAAGTCCACAGATGGGATTAACTGAAGTGTGTTAATAACATTACTTCCACAACATTAAACTAATACGCAACAATATTAAACTAATGCTCTGCGTCTCACACTAATCACGAAGACTGCTTACGCTTACACAAATTAAGTATTGTGTCCACCCCGTGCTCAAACCGTATCTCTGCACAAACGTTAATTCTGCAGATCTGACTGCAGACTGGACAGCTGCTCATTGTTTCGCACCGTGTTAAACACTTCAAACAGTAAAAGGTGTTTTTAAGGCTGTATTTCAGGAGTTAATGAGCAAAATAAGTAAATTCGTTCACTACAACACTTATAAAATCATAACAGAATGTGAAAAATGAAGAGCATCTTGCAAATAATGCTACTGTTCTGTCAGAGTTTGGTGTCTTTTTGTTGTAAAGGTGCACCCGTTAGACCAGAGGTTCTCAATATTTTTCACATCAAGGCCCACCTGTTTAGCATAGCAGCCCACAAGAAAACTAAAATCAATCAATAGCTTTCTTTTTTTTAATTGGTCACACTGAAACCCTCTGAAAAAGCTCAGATCATCCATTTCAGTTCAATCACAGAAAACAAAATTTGCAGTTATGTTAAAAAAAATGTATTTGCAGAGGTCAAAAAAGCGGGAAAAAGTAAAGAGGTATACGCGGACGGTGATTTGGAGCTGCAGTCCATCGCGTTTTCACTGAAAATACTCTTGTGGCCCCCACAGGAGAAACTGTCTGGCCTCAAGACGTCTCTGTAGTTTTAAGGGTTTAGCACCTCATTTGAAATTAACCTCACTCCACTCAGGGGGCTTTTGGATCAGCGTCGTCACAATCAGCAGTAATAATAAAGCTTGATATCTGCTTGTTTGTCATTACATTATAATTTTGAGTTTAATTACTCAGGTCGCTGACACTCGTTCAAAAATCAAACACAGATCTTCGCTATTATTTTAAGGCTCTTCTGCCATTTTTAACAGCTGCAGCTCGAGCTGCAGGAACAGAATGAGGGCAACGAGAGTCTGTAAAGAGTCAGACGCTAAACGGGCAGATTATACTGACAGTGCAGCGCTGATGTGCTGCTAGAAGAAGAGGAAGAAAGCCAGCTCTACTGATTAATGACCTCGTTTCGCCATAAAATGTGTCCCACCAGCAACGAACTGAACAGGGTTCGGTTGGAAGCGGACCGAGACCCATGGATTTTGCCGGACCGGTTCAGCTGTTTGCCGCAGACCCAAATACGGATGGAGTGTTCACACACGTCAGAACGGAGCAAACTAAAGAAAAAAGTCTGACACACAAAAATGGACGTTTCTGTATAATGACCCTTATACGTCCCTACCGGCCCACTACGGACTACTGCCTCCCCCTGAGTACAGGCCCGGGGACCACTAGAGGGTGATACACGGGCCACTTGTTTTCCGCAGCCCACAGGTTGAGAAACCCTGCACTAGACGACACATGACTAGTTTCAACTACGAATGAGCACTTAAAATCAGAAATCTTATCACACGACACAAAAGCTGATACTGGAAATCTGGTTTGTGCTTTTACACACAAAAAAAAGCGCATTGTAAATCAGAAGCATATAAAATAGTAAGGCACTTCACTGACAGATAAGAGTCCATCAGCTGCAGACAGACCTCACTGTGACACCGAGTTGCCTTTACAGGTGGGAATGCATTTTATGGTGAACCGAGGTCATTCGTCAACAGAGCTGGCTTCCTTCCTCTTCTTCCAGCAGCACATCAGCGCTGCACACTGTCAGTATAACCTGCCTGTTTAACGTCTGACTCTTTACAGACTCTTGTTGCTCTGATTTTTGACCGAGCATCAGCGACCTGTGTACTTAAACTTTAAATGATGATCTAATGACAAACAAGCAGATATCAAGGTTTATTATTATTGCTGATTGTAGCGATGCGGATCCAAAAGCCCCCTGAGTGGAGTGAGGTTCATTTCAAATGAGGCGCTAAAACCCTCAAAACTACAGAGACATCCTGAGACCAAATGAGCACTTAAAAGAAAATCTTCACACACGACACAAAAGCTGATACTGGAAATCTGGTTTGTGCTTTTATACATTATTGAAAATCAGAAGCAAATACAACAGTAAGGACTTCACTGACTGATAAGGCCCGAAACATACTTCACGCAAGGACGCAGACGCTTCGAGCTACGCAGACAAGGTTTCGCGCATAG